GCTGAACACGGTGTTTTCAAAGAGGAAAGCCTCACAGCAGTTCCCTGCTGTACTTGCCTGTCATTTCTATGGACCCCACTTGAAACACCTGATTAAATCAGTGCATTGCATCTAGATGAATACCTGAGTTTTTACAGTGCTGACACATGTTCTGGAACATCAGCTGTCAATCTTCCATTGATTCACAAGGGGAAGATCTGGGAAAGCCAGCTACTCCTGGCTGCAGAGCAGCACATGTGTTGTCAGCTCCCTTTGGAGCACTGGCTATTTCTGAAGTCGCTGTTAATGACTCTGGGAGATTACACAATGCACAAAGGTATGGGCTGACTGGTGTACAGCTTCATTAAAATAAGATTCAGATCTATCGACGCTATGAAATACTGTGTTGTATGTTTCTCTTTATTTTGATCAGTCAATCTGTCTTGTGCTATAACATACCATGCCAGCTGGGAATCCAGACTTGTCATCTGCTTGAACATGGTTGATAAGAAAAAAATAACTTTATGGAGGTACTTTTCTATTTTTAATTTTTCATCTGTTAATGGTTTTCTGTACTCCATTAGCAGAAATAGCTGCAATGCTTAAGGTTAATGAAACCTCAAAGGTCCAAACCGCTGTCCCCTTGGAGGGCAACATGCAAATTGTTAGAAAACATGTAGATATATAATAAAAATTCAAAGTTGAGTCTGTCTGCTGGTCCCTGTAGAAGAGGAAAGTAGATGCATATGGAGTCTGGGTTTCATTTTATGCTTACATTGAGCCTTTAAAAGACTGCTGCTGAGCACATCCTCAGAATAACAAGCAGCATTTACAACTTCATCCTCTAAAAATTTATATCACTTCTGCAGCATTAACCCTCTAGAATGTTACAGGGAATATGACCGTTTCTACATTTGGATGATCACTGAAATAAATTGACAGCATTAAAGAATGCATGTTGCAATGATGCAACAGGTGTTTTGGCTAAAATCCTGAGCCACTGAATGAAATCATGTCTCCATTTGTTTTTAATGTATCTGGCATTTCACCTTCAATGTCTACCCCTAAGACTGATCCAAATAATTTTGTCTGACCTTTGGCTGAGTCCAAGACCGCTAGTCAGTGTCTTTACTTTCAACTCCATACAACAATTAAAATGCCACAGCAAAGTTTGTACTTCCCAGCCTGTTTGACCAGAGTCTTGAAGTACAAGTGGTCTTTGGTTGACTGACGTGCATTGTACCTGTAGCATGGGCCATGTCTGACCTCACTGTACCAAACTAATCCAGAGCTTCAATGTATTCTCATACAAGAAACCATGAATTATTATTATTTTTCATTAAATTTGCCCGTGCAATGTCTGTTTTATGTTTCACTTCAGCCTTTTAAATTAATGGAGGCTGTTGAGCTAAAGAGCTCCATCCTGGTTGTATGACACCTAGTAAGCAGCAGAAAATAATTATAAACCTCATAACCGCAAAGGATTATTTGTCTGTTCTCTAGGAATGGGAAGAGGTAAAAAAAGCCTCTTCCCATCTACAGCAAAAAGTATTGCCATTGTATGGTACTGTATGCCATACTCAGATGTGTTTACTGAATTAAAGGACAGCTATTGCATGCAACAGCTCTGCAAAGTACTTGGATATAAAGCTAGAAGAATTTATTCTGATGTTTATTTAAAAAAGAATCCTGAAACAGAGAAGGGAAGAACAATGCTTTCAGGTACAAAAGTGTATGTAGAAAATTGCTCTGAATCTCCACAGGAAAAAGAAAAGTTTCAGATGAAATGATCAAAATCCATGCATTTGATAATTAGCAGGTATTTTTCTTCCTGAGGGAGGAAACAGGCAGTGAGTAACTATATTCCTGCTTATTGCTAATGCACAGGAGCCTGACAACAAGAAATCTTTGAACAAGAAAGTGCAGCAACAGTCAGTCACATTTTCACTCTGAGAATACTTGGACAGAAGACTTCATTGTTTGCTGACAAGGGAAAATGAGGAAATTCTCTTTGTAAAATTAACTATGGGATGCTACCAGATTTGTTTCACTTTTGGATTTTTGCCTTTCTATTCTACAACTAAATATTTGCTCCAGACAACATTATGTACCCAAAATCTGGAAGGATTTAGTTATTACCATATTACACAGTAATATCAAGTCCTTTGTGACTTGATTGTAATTAGGAGAAGATTAGGAAATTTCTGATTAAATTTTGTTTGCTTTGTTTCTGTTTGTTTGGTTGGTTGTTGTGGAAAAGGAAGATATGCTGAAACCAAATATTTTCAAGTGTAAAATGTATGTTCCAGTGAGAAGTTCAGAAAACAGAAAGCTATGGTGTATTTACTGCATACTTGCTCTGAGTCTGGGGTCGCCTGGATGTGCTTTTATGCAAAAGAAGGCCTAGGTAGAATAGAGCCCAACAGAAAAGGGTTTGCAGAGCCTCTTGCTTCCACATGACATGGCCAAAAGACTGGCAAGATACGTGCCCCAGCTGCCAGGCTTTGACTCAGCCACAAGAGCCCTATGGCTTCTGGCTCTCTCTCAGTCCATGGAGACAGAACATTACAAAAAAAAAAAAAAAAAAAAAAAAAAAAAGAGTGAAGATCAGAATACAGGCATAGACATTTAGAATACTGACATCAGTTCCACAAACCACGATCAGAGAGGTCACCTATTCTGTGTTAAAATACTTTCCTGGAGATGGGAGTGATGTGATCATACCCTGTGTATACCAGACATCTCACATTTTTAGAATTGTCTGCTTATGCCAGTATGTCAGCCCATTGGATAACAAAATTACTGCATAAAGTAATTCTGCTGTAAATTGAGCTTTCTACTTTTCATCAAAGTTAAAAAATAACTGACAGATGGGGAGTATGATAGTTCAGGAAAACCACTGTGCTAAAGCATCTAACAGTTTCCCAGACTGGACTACACATCTAGCTGTACTGGAGTTTAAATAAATTCATGTTTGCTTGAACCCATCTATGTACGTATACTGTAAATCTTGGCTCTCCTACACTTGCAAATACTATTAAAAGTAGGGAACTAGGGTTGAAAGAAGTGTTCCCTGCAATCACAGATAACACAGCTATAGTCAGTAGGAATGCTGGAATGTTACGAAAATTTATATTTATTAAAAAAAAAAAAAGCATTAGAATCATAATTGTGTGCTCAATAAAGTTTTGGCACAGTGTGAATAAGTTTCCCTCAAATTAAGAACGTGCAAACTGTCTTCACAGACGATATCTTGAAGCCTTCAAAACAGTTTCAATGCTGCATTATTTTTTATGATTCATTCCTTTGAGAAATGACACATTTTCATATTTATTCAAAGGTTTCCAATGGATTAATGCTTCTCTAAAGCCTGTAATGTCATTATGGCCATTACTAAGGCAAGAAAAGAAAATGGCATGACCACACCATCATGTCAGTTGTGGTGACTTCCCCATATATATCCTGACCTTTCTATGTGTTAACACTATTGCTGGGTTAAGACTATCCTATTGTAGTGTCAGAACTTATTCTGTAATCTCCCACTTGTTTGCATTTGATCCATTCAGTGGCAATATCAGAGGCATTAGATGCTTCTTTATCTTGAAGGATTATGGTTTCACAAGTACTGAAATAATGAAATAATGGATCAAAGGAAGGCATTATTTATCTCGTTTGTTGGTAGTATTGGTTTTTGCTGTTCATTATTTTTTTGAGAACAAACACTTCAACATATAATTTCAGATAAATTGTGTAGGAGAGAAAATGAAGCACACGGTCGTTTCATTGGTTTTGAAACTTTGAAAAAAGTTTTACCATTTTAATTTTGTCTTCTGCAGATTTTAATGAACAAAATATGAGTGGTTCTTTGGAAGGAAGAGTAGACAACTCAAGACTAGTGCCTGCTCTTTAATTTTACTCATACACTTTGCACCCTTCCTACTTTCGGCAGGCTTTTCCAAATAGTGCAACCAAAGTACAAAAAAATGCAAAATCAAAAAAAGATTGGCTGAGAAAAAAAGGGAAGTCAGCATTGAAGAGTGTAGCATCGCTTATACCACATGGTATTCAGTCACATCTCTTTTACAAGCAATTGATATTCTCCACAGCCTGAGCATAATGTTATCAAGAAGGTTAGAAGGATGTTAACATTTCATTAATCTTGCCATTGATTTTTTTCTGCATTCTTCACAACAAAATTCAAAATGCGACCTCTTATTCCACTGAATTAGTTCCAGAGCACTTGGCATTATCGACCTCTTAATGAAAAGTAATGATGACTTTTTTGATTCAGTCTTTCAAGTAAGCACACCAAGCACATTTAAGATACGGACACAAATATTTCACTTAATTGAAATGAAATAATACACTGTTAAAGACTAAAATGTACATTAATGTATCATTAAATTAGCATATTTAAGCACACAGAATTCAGGATATTTAAACTGCATAATTGGGATCTGATGCTACAAAGATCTGAGTTTGGCAATAATCCCAGACTTGGGAAAATAATGAATTTTACAAGTAAATGTATGCACATGTTTAGAGCATTCTAAGCCTTACATTTATAGTGAAAATTTGACAAAAAGAAATATTTTTGCATACAAGAGAAAGAACTGTTCATTTGTATGGGTATTTCCATGCTTTTCCTTTCTATTTTAAAGCTAGGAAACAATTTGGATTCTTTCAGTGACTTTTCTTCTGTGCTCACAAGCTGCCACCAGACAGCTGAGTGGATTTCCTTCATGCAGAGCCTCACACAAATATTTATGCACAGACTGAGTTCAGTGTATGGGTATGGATCCCTTCTGTCTTGTATCCGTGTAATTAAGGATTAACTCCACTAGGTGGAACATAAAAGATGAATGGCTTCATAACTGGAGAATGGGTAAAAGTTTGCTATTTTATCTAAGCAATTTACCATTCCTGAGAAATTCTTTGAGGAATAATTCCTGGGCAATCATCTAAGCAATATGCAAGAACAGCAAATAATGAAATTTCGTTTTTTCCTTGTATTTTTTTAGATAACAAGGACTATGATGCATATCTATCTTATACCAAAGTGGATCCTGATCAGTGGAATCAAGAAACTGGAGAAGAAGAAAGATTTGCTCTTGAGATCTTACCAGATATGCTTGAAAAGCATTATGGATACAAGTTGTTCATACCAGACAGAGATTTGATTCCCACAGGAAGTAAGTATGTCTTTATGTTTGCGTATTTTCTACACGACGTATGCTGTGGTTGCATATATTATTTAAGTATTAATTCTATGCTTGTCCCTTTCCAATGTCATCTTAACTCTATCATCTTGTGGAATAAGATAAGTCACCAAATATGCTTGATGTACATTTCCTAGATAAGAAGATTATATTTTACTAAGTGTATTATATTCATTGAAGGTGAGACAGTGCAGACAGGGCATGCATAGGTAATGGAAATTAATAAGATTAATATTTATTCACAGATTATTTGAGAGTCTCCACACCTAGGAATTAATAAAGAGGTTTTTATTTTCTATTCCTACGTGTTTCCTTGGAAATATATCCATCACACTAATATAAAAACAACTAAATAATTATCGCTATCCGTCTATACAGAGACTCAGACAGGAAGAAAGCAGTTGTCTTTGGTCTAAGTCAAGAGCTGAGAGAAAACATCTGCAGCAGAGTAAATAAAAGACTGCTGGTAGATAAACTGTAGTGGAGGCACTGGATCATTTTCAGAGACTGAAACTGAGAATTGATTCCAACTGAAATAAGTAGATTTTTTTCATATATATTTAAGGTATTCCAACCTATGCTCAGTAATATTTGTAAGTTGCAGTTTGTAACTTCAGTTGTAGGCGTTTATAAAACTACTAAGTTCAAACTATTTTATTGAATTCATATTTATAAGAAAGGATAAGTAAAACACAACCTTAATCATAAGCACATGGATATTTTCAAATCTACAGTATCCTAAACATTAATTTGCAGGACACAGCTCTGTTTCTGTGGATACATGAAAGGAAAAGAACAATCTAGTGAATCAGTAGACCTTAGAATGTCATTTGCTTTATAGGCTGACAATAAAACACAGCTTCTGCTCTGTTGCCTATCTGGGTGACTTTTTAGAAAATGGTGATGGATAAAATGATGATGGACACGCTTGTTCCAATAAAGATATAGGCATAAATTGACAGTTCATTTGCAAACACTACCAAAACGTAGCCCAATGGGAAATAAATATTTCACTGAATCATAGAATGCTTGAGGTTGGAAAGAACTTCTGGATGTCATCTGCATCAGCTGTCTTGTTCAAGCAGGGTCATCCAGAACGGGTTATCCAAAAAACTTGTCCTGGCAAGCAAAGTTTACATGTTTGAAAGTGATGTTTTTGCAGCATTCAGAGAACTTTTCTGGGAGAAGGGCGTTTGCTTCTGTTATTTCTCTCCAGCCTATGGGAATGAAATATTTTCTTGCCTTGATTTTTGAGCAATTGTCTTATTTTGTAGCCTACATTGAAGACGTGGCAAGATGTGTAGACCAAAGCAAGCGACTGATCATCGTCATGACCCCAAATTATGTGGTAAGAAGAGGCTGGAGCATCTTTGAACTGGAAACAAGGCTTCGGAACATGTTAGTCACAGGAGAAATTAAAGTGATACTGATTGAATGCAGTGAACTGCGAGGAGTTATGAACTATCAGGAGGTTGAGGCCCTGAAACATACCATCAAGCTCCTCACTGTCATTAAATGGCATGGACCAAAATGCAACAAGTTGAATTCCAAATTCTGGAAACGTTTACAGTACGAAATGCCTTTTAAGAGGACTGAACCCATCACACACGAGCAGGTTTTAGATGTCAGTGAGCAGGGGCCCTTTGGGGAACTGCAGACAGTCTCCGCAATTTCAATGGCTGCTGCCACCTCTACTGCTCTTGCCACTGCTCATCCAGATCTACGCTCCACCTTTCATAACACATATCATTCACAGATGCGCCAGAAACACTATTATCGAAGCTATGAATATGATGTACCTCCTACCGGCACCCTGCCGCTTACCTCAATAGGTAACCAGCATACCTACTGCAACATCCCTATGACACTAATAAACGGGCAGCGGCCACAGACAAAAACTAACAGGGAGCAGAATCCAGAAGAGGCTCACACAAACAGTGCGATACTGCCCCTCTTGCCACGGGAGACCAGTATATCAAGTGTCATTTGGTGACAGAAATGCAAGGGGCTGTCCATCCCCTTGAGTAGAAGCTGAGTCTGCAGTCCGGTGCCTGGAACTACATCCTCGACTGCTGCTGTTAAACATGCATTACAATCGATAATATATGAGGAAAAACAGGGTCTTGTACATACGTTTTTTGCAATTTCTTTGTAGCATCGGTCTTCCTGTTTTACCCATGTTCTCTTCCCATACACATTTTCGACTTTGTTTTATATGTCATTGGAATTTGTATATTTACATTTTTTTAATGAAGAGACTGCTGTATAGATAGGAAACTTTTTGGCTTCATTAGTATAGTTTTAGACTTTTTTTTTGGTTCGTTTTTAACCTCTCTTGGGAATGCTTGGACAAAGCTATGTTGATATCAGATGCGCCATCCATTTTGTTGGCCTGCCTAGCCTGATTCCTGAAGGCCATGCCTGCTGCAATTCACCTGTTTTGGGTAATATTTGTTCTTAGAATGATCCCATCCCTCACTGAGAGCCTTTGTTTCATTTCTTCCCCTGTAATGTGCATCACTCCCTGCTCTTACAATGGCCCCATTTGGGGTAACACTACAGTCTGATCATCTAACATTTAACTTGGTAGAAACTTGTTAAACAGACTATACCCAATCTGTATCGGTTGCTTCACAGTAGTCACTACAGAATGTGTAGAAAATAGAGATGGTTTGATTTTTGCTTTCTTGGGGGATTTATTTTTTTGTTTTTGTTTTAAGAATGAGTCAATTGTACCCCTTTTATAAATATAAAAGCAAGCCCTATTTTTAACACTTCCTGGAAAAGTATTAATGTGGTCGTGGATTTTATTTTTAAGCATTTGACTTTTTTCTTTCCCTCCTTTAAAAACCCTGCAAATAAGATCATTTCCAATTTTTAGGAAAGCAAGACAAGTCAGGCAATAGGCACTGAAGTGCAGTGAGTCCTGCTGATATTTACAGTGATGATTTCCAAACCAAAGGGGAATAAAAAGGCAGTATCTTAGATGGTTGCCATTATGTATTAAAGAAAGTGTTATTTGCTGAAAAAGGAAGAGCAAAACATTATTTTGCTGTGGATTGCAGAGTCCCCTTGTATTTTAATGTTCAAAATTGTATTTGCTTTAAAATGATATATTCAAGATGAAAAAATACTATTTAATTTGGTTTTAGCTTGTAACAATAAGTAAAGCTTAATTTTAACATGATTTCAGTAAGAACTCAGGCAAAAAAGAAAAAAAAAAGAAACATGAACACCAACAAATATAATTGTTTTCAGAATAAACTTTATTTATACAAAATTAATATTTAAATAAGACTTTGAAGTATTAAAAACAATTTATTCACTTTAATGAATAAATAAATTAGTTTTATTTTTTATGTATGTTTCTATCTTTGAGGAATTGCAGATAATGCGTTTACCATGGTTGCCAGGGAAGAAACAAACCACTGTCTTTATATCTGGGCATCTTTAAGACAAATGAACCAAGCAACTTATATTTTAAATAAAGGAAGAGTCCTTTATGGTTTGAGAAAGAGCACAGAGCACTGTTGTAGCTGTACACGGTATTCAGGCCAAGCTGTCTGCCAGTCTCTGCTAGCAGAAGCAGAAGAGCAGAGGCAGAATTGCTGCTTGCAGCATACTCTCATAGAGTCGTGGGTTTGATTGACTCTGGCAAAAATGTAGCTGGTAGCCTGGCAGACAAACCTGATTGTCTGTTTCTGCAATTAATTAGCTTTAGGAATTTTTGTGGTAGCTGACTGATATTAGCCAATATAAGGGATGTGTGGGGTTTGTTCATCTTAATTGTCTCAAGGAGAAAAGTACAGCTTATAATATTTTGGTCTTCTTAATGAAAAGTAATGAGTAGAGAAGAGGTAAACTGCAGTTTGGGGGATGTTTGTGGGAGTAATCCAGAACTGACAGCGTGGGAGGATGTAACTATGATCGTGTTGTGAAAGTCAAGAAGTCTCAGTATGTGCATAACAAGCCAATAGAGCTTTGGGATGCGCACTGATTTTTGCTTGCTTTAAAATGTTCATTTCTCTGACAGTTTGCTCAAATCCTTTTCTACCATCTATCATGGTGTCTCCCTCTGGACATGTGCCAAATGTCCACAAAATGGAAATGAAGCTGCCAGGCCAGATGAAATTCTAAAAGAGCTTTGCACTTTTGTTTTCTTCATAGTGTAAGAAAGCTATTATTTATTCACTCTTACAGACACCTGTCAGGCACTGATGGCATTTTTCTTCATTCAACTGAATGCCAAATGTACCAGTACCCTCTAAAAACAATTATTTTTTTTTTTCTTTTTTCCTTCATTTTCCTTCCCTCTTACATACCCTGTAGAAAAGACTGGGATGTGGAATAAATGTAGAATGTATCTATCTAACCACAGTCATTTTTAGGCAGTGTTAGGTAGTTTGTTCCTTAGCCACACGGGGAATACTTTTCTGTTCTATTTTAATGCAATTTTAAGCACTTTGAATAGCATGATTCAGGGACTGATGGATACAATTTGATATTCACAGTACTTTTTTTAAAAAAGAGATTTTCTTTATAATGCTTTTATTATAATATTAAAAAAAAATAGGAAGAAGGAAGGAAAGAAAGAGAGAGAGAAGGAAAGAAAAGAAGAAAGAAAGAAATGTAGAAGCTATCTATTACTTCAAAAACATTCCTTCTTAGTATTCCTCCTCTATAAACAGCTCAGCTCTGTGTGGGAAACAGTGAAGGAAATTGCTGTGTGTTCAACATACTCTGTGTTTGACAAAAGTTCTATTGGAACAAAAAATAAAACGGAAAAATATAATCTTTCATTGCCCTAGGGATTAGGCTCCATCCTTTATTGGTGAAGGTATTCCAGTTTTGACCCTGCAGTCCGAAGTGTGCATGCAATAGACACATTTAAGATTTAGCCATAAACAAATAGCACTTTATTTTTAAAACTGCACAGTGTGATGATTGGAGAAACTTACTCTGGCTGGTCAAGGATTTGGGGTCTGTATACGTGGATTCTATGCACATGATTTACACAAATGTGGCGCTTTATAAGGCTCTGTATTATCAGGGTAATCCTTGCTGTGAAACTAAAGGACTCTGCTATATAACCTATGTACAACGTATAAACCTAATCAGTTTATAAGTCCTGGCAGCACATGCAGCTTGACATAAATGGAGAGCTGTATAAGATGAAGCTAATTATTTTGAAGACCAAGTGCATTGTGACGTCTGATTCTGTTCTCAGTTGCAGCAGTACAATCCGAGAATAGATCTAATAAAGCTGAATGAGTATAATTTGAGTTTGTGTGAGAAAAGAAAATTGGAAAGGCAAAAAGAAAAGGAATTCACATTTGAAGGCTGTTACAAGCCGTGGTTGCAAATTGTCTTCTGAATTTTAGTATGGACCCAGTTCTCACCCGGCTGCAAACATCAAGAGCTTCCAATGTGATCTGGTTCAGAGCTAAATACTCTTATCTTTAGATGCAAACTGAGATTTTTCTATTATTATACAGCTGTGAAAATCAGAAGTATGATATGTGATTAATGATAATCGATTTCAAAATAATTGGAAAGCCTGTTTTATCCTCTTGATTAAAATTTAAAAAAATCTACTTGAATATTGTGCATTAATGACATATAAATTATATATAGATCAGTGAGATTGTACAAAACTGGCCTGGTAAACAGACTTCTTTCATTCTTAAAAACAGTCAAGCTAGCAAGACTAAGAAGAATTTAATTAAGATTCAGAAAAGAAATAAAAAATAACAGCAGTAAAGTAAGCCAAAAAGTAGGATAAAGGCCAGTGGAGAATAAAGGTCAAAGTACCTGCCTGTTCCTTGACTGTATTGTGGCTTTTTTTGTCATGCAATGCGCTGTACTCTGGCTGACCTACATAACGCAATTGGTATTTTTGGGGCCCATCCAGATTGATGAGCAACACAAATGTATCCCCATGTGCCTAATAGACTCCTGAATGATTTGCACTTGTCAGTTGTCTAGCACAGAGAGTTTCTGTTGCATGCACTATTGTCATAACAGAGAGGATGGCAGAAACCTGACAGTGCTAAAAACAATCTCTGTGGAAGGTTTAGTTTATTATCCATTGTAAATGTATGCCTTCAAACTCACCCCCTATCTGATTTGCTGTTATTAGAACACTTCATAACCCATTTTTCAGATGAGCAAGAGATCGGTTTGGCTAGAAACAGAAAAATCTAAGCATTTTCACAGCAATAAATCTGCTTGTATAATGATTGCTTTTTTTTTTTCCTATCAGTCGCAGCTCTTCACATCCTAAATAGCCCACTGAGTGGAGATTGAATGATGGACATTTGAGACATGATCTGTCATTTGAGATTCATTACAGGGTTTGTATATTGGACTTAGTACCAAACTGCCACTTCTGATGTCATTTTGCTGGGCTATTTCCTTTTCACTCTGGCTATAACCTCAAAGAAAATGTGTTGGCAGCCTTGTATTCCTCTAGCTGGCCTTTGTTTGATGGTCCAGAACTAGGAATTGTTGCTCTGGGAAGTAAAGCTAATTTAAATGTTTCTGCTATCAAGAGCTTTCCTATGCTTTTTGTTTGTTTATATTGTTCGTGACATTTCTGATCTTTGCTCTGGACCAATAAACATTGTAGATGGGAGGTCAATTGAGCTATGTAGTAGTCAAAGCATAAATTACAAAAGCAGGCCTGATAACTTGTTTGAAACGTACAAATTCTGCAGCTGATCATATTACTAAAAATTAAGCACACTGAGCTATAGAACTGTTGAAGACAAGTGTTCTGTTTATTACTACAACTGTATTCAGTTCAAGAGCATTCTTACATTAAAAAACCAATACCCTAGATAAAATAATTTCAGAAGCATTCGGTTGTTAAAAATATATAATTTGGTAGAGTATGAATAATATGATTCTCTAAGTAATAACTCAGTGGTATAGGAAGTAGGTAATCTTCTATTATTGAGCTTAAAGTAAGTACAAACACCTCTTTGCCTGGTC